CAGGGATCGATCATCAAATGTTTCATGCCAGCCTGGACTTTCCAATGGTACTGGGAGCTTCCTGATGGGTGACACCACGCCTCCCATGACCTATCCCATCACTATCACATCTTCCCACCATATTCAATTAATAAATATTTATTAGTCACCTCCTCTGTGTTGGGAGTGTTCTAGGTTCTAGGAATACAGCAATGAACCAGACTGTCAGGATCCCTATCTCACAGAGCTTACATTCTAATGAGAGGGAAAACATAATATCCAGGTAAACAAACCAGCTAATGAATTGAGAACACAGAGATCATCACAAGGGCAAGGAAAAGGATGAAAGAGAGTGATAGGATAAGAAAGACCTGAGGAGCCTTATCAGATCATGTGGCAAGAAAGTGCTGTCTAAGGAGGTCATATCTACACTGGACCCTGAGAAAAAACAGCCAGCTCTGTGAGGATTTGAGGGAAGAGAACTCCAGGCAGAAGATCGGCAGGTGCAAAGGCCCTGAAGTAGAAATGGGCTTAGCAAATTACGGAAAAAGAAAAGTACCTGAACAGTGGCAGTCAAGCAGGAGAGGGGAGGGAAGCAGAGCTCAGATTGTGCAGGTCTCAGAAGCTTGAATCCTGTGTCCCCGGATGCGAGAAACCATGTGATGTGGCTCAGTGCTGACTCCCACACCTCTATATCTGTGTGCTCTCAGCCCACTGAGCTCCCTGGAACCACTGAGCACTCCCTCCAGGGTGCCCAGTTATCCCCCACAGTCTCTGCTTCAGTGGGCACAGTGGTCCAACATGAGGACGTGGAATCATATTTCTGGATTTCAACCCCTGCTCTAGTTGAGTGGCTTTGGGCAGATTATAGAACCTAAGCTCCAATTTTCTGGCCTGAAGAATGTGATGATAGAGTATGTATTCCAGAAGATTATCACAAGGATTAAATGATACGATGAGTGCCTCGTGCTCAGCACCAGCAGTGGCATGCAGGAAGCAAGCCCATAAAGCAGTTTTTATGTTGTGGTGGTTATTTTTATTAATCTTGGTAGGAAATCAGCCCTGAAGTATAAACACTGCCTGGTAGAAAGTGCTGGAATCTCTTGCATCAGCTATATTGGCTCCTGAGCTAACTGCAGCAGATTTAGTGAAAAGGATCTAAAAAGGAAAAAAAAAAAAAAAAAAAAAAGGTATACTCCAAAACACCTACTCTTTTCCAAATAACACGATCTCTAGTATTTTTTTCATGCAACCTACTGGAAAGTTCTAATCTTATTCATTTAAAATCCCCAAGCTTGATTCTGTTTTTCGTTAGCAAATATTCCGGGACAACACCAGAAGCAGCAAGATCCAATGATGGAGATTCTCTAACTGAAAATGTAGGGCACCATGACAAGAAACTCAATTCTTTGCCAAATGAAAAGAGATGAGCATTTAACCCGAGGAATGCCAAGGCCAGGGTTTCTGTTCAGATTTCCCGAGAAAGAAAGGTTTTGTCAAAAGACAGACTACACCAAGCATTTTCTTTTCTTTGGTGCGCCAAGGATTCATTAAGAACCAAGCCCTAGCGCCATCTCCTGGCAGTCTCCAAAACTGAAAAACAGACGCTTACCACAAGGGACCCCTCCCCCTCCTCGACAGAAATTCAGTTCAGGAGATAAACTGGTAATTTCATAGTAACTTCTGTGTTTTCAACCTCCTGTTAAATATTTGAATTGAGATGAGCAGATGGTAACAGTCCCAGCTACTTACGGTCCCCACAAGGGACAGTCCCTTTTAGGCCACCACTTCCTTTGTTTCTGTAAGAGCTTGTCAACCAACAAGGAACCCAGAGATCAGAGGCAGCGTATTTATTGTCAGTGGGCCAGTGCTTAGCCCTGCAACCGATGCGCCCAATCTTAAAAGAGGATCGTCCTCTGCCCAAATTTACATTCTCCAATACTTCCGCTCGCTGTGGATACTTTACGCAAAGAAATCATGCGTGAAATTGACCCTCAAAGAGCTGGGCTCCCAGCTCACTTCCGAACTGCAAATCTAAGTTTGCCTCAGTACCCAGAATCTCACGGTAAGCCTCAGTTTGGGGTCTTGCTCTCCCTGGAGAGGGAACGGATGGCCACCCTTGGCATCAGGGCCACTTTCGCTCCCCAAAGATTTGGTGAGGGCAGGTGGCTTCCTGGCCTGGGTTGCTTCAACAGTTTTCACCTAGCTCTGTACTCACCTCCAATCCAGGTAACTTGGTATCTGCAAGCACAGAGCCTGAAATGGCTAGGAAAAATAATTCTGCTGGGTTGCTGACTGAGGAGTGAACCAGTATCCCAAAGAATTGTGACTCGTTTCTTAGGGAAGTTGGGGGGCAGGGGGAGCTGGGGTAGAAATAAGCAGGATAGTTTGGGAGGACAGGAAAACTACTGGCTGGACTGGTTCCTCCCTTCTTTACTCAAGCACATGTATTTACTTATTTAAAATGCTTTGAGGGACCTGAGTGGCTCAGTCAGTTAAGCAACCCACTTCAGCTCAGGTCATCATCTCATGGTTCATGAGTTCAAACCCTGCATCGGGCTCAGAGCCTGGAGCCTGCTTGGGATTCTGCCTCTCTCTCTCTCTCTCTCTTTCTCTCTCTCTCTGCCCCACCCCCACTTGCACTCTGTCTCTCTCTGTCTCTCAAAAATAAGTAAATGTTACAAATTTTAATTAAACAAATCAAATGCTTTTAGGGGCGCCTGGGTGGCCCAGTTGGTTGAGTATCTAACTCATGATTTTCGCTCAGGTAATGCTTTCACAGTCTGTGAGATCAAGCCCCACGTTGGGCCCTGTGGTGACAGCATGGGGCCTCCTTGGGATGCTCTCTCTCTCCCTCTCTGCCTCTCCCCCGCTTGCACAGGTGCTCTCTCTCTTTCTCTCTCTCTCTCTGTCTCTCAAAATAAACATTTAAAAAAATAAAAATAAAAAAATAAAGGGGCACCTGGGTGGCTCAGTCCGTTAAGCATCCGACTTCAGCTCAGGTCATGATCTCACAGTTCATGGGTTTGAGTCCCATGTTGGACTCTGTGCTGACAGCTCAGAGCCTGGAGCCTGCTTCAGATTCTGTGTCTCCCTCTCTCTCTGCCCCTACCCCACTCACACTCTGTCTCTCTCTCAAAAATAAATAATAAAAGCATTTTAAAAAATAAACATAAAAAAATAAAGTGCTTTGACCCCTTCCTGTTTGTCAGATAATGTGATAAGCACTTCACCTATAGCTCCTCACTTACACAACAACCCACGCGTTTGGTACCATTTTTTATTTCCATTTAACAGAGAAGAAAACATGCTTAGCGAGAGCTTAAATAACTTGCCCAAGATCTTAGAGCAAATAACTGGTAGAGGCAGGGTTCAAACACAGATATCCTCTTAACCACTATAATGAAGTATCTTTCAGACCCAGGACTCAGGATTTTCTCAGGCACTGCTGAAAACACTCCTTATATTTGCAGGATGAATGAAATGGGATAATTCTGCCAGATAAAGAAGGTGCTGCTCAGAGCCCTCCTGGGTGACTGTGTACGTGGTGAGAAGAAGAGGTGCGTTAGCATCAGGCACCACCAAATCTTCCTCCTTCTTGAACAGCACGCACCCAGAGTAAACCCTTTGCCTTAGTCTTCACGCACTTGACGCAGTTACTGACCCATAGTCCTCATTCCCAGCGAGTTTTCAAGAGACTGACAGTAATTTTCTCACACCATCCATGCCTGACAATTGATTTCTCATGGTTATTTGCCAAAGCACCACTACAAATGCCATTAACTGGTAATAAAACTAGCCAGCCGTTTCTAAAACCCAGTGCTGGCGACAGCTCTGTGGTCCCCCAAGATGTGTTTTACCGCATCTTGCTAAAGCAAATATTTCTTTTTGATGTTAAATGCCAAAAGAGGAAACGTATCTTTTGCTCTTCCCAAAATTTATAGAACTATGAGAGTCAGGAGTAAAGAGACAGCCTTTTATTTATTTATTTATTTTTTATTTTTTTTTTCAACGTTTATTTATTTTTGGGACAGAGAGAGACAGAGCATGAACGGGGGAGGGGCAGAGAGAGAGGGAGACACAGAATCGGAAACAGGCTCCAGGCTCTGAGCCATCAGCCCAGAGCGCGACGCGGGGCTCGAACTCACGGACCGCGAGATCGTGACCTGGCTGAAGTCGGACACCTAACCGACTGCGCCACCCAGGCGCCCCGAGACAGCCTTTTAAAAATCACAGAAAGCATTCAGGATTCCTGACTCTAAAAAACGACCCATTAGCCTCAATATATAAATTGCATACATTTTCCAGATAACACTTCTTTAAAAAAAAAAAAAAAAGTAAGAATTTAATAATCATTCATTAACCATCTTTTGGGTTCCTGACAAGGTGCTACACACCGTAAATACAAGAAAAGGTCACTGTGCCTGCCTTCAAGGTGCTTATATTCTAGATATGGAGACACAACCCACATATGAAGCAACTTAGGAATAAGACAAGGCAAGACACAGTCAGTTGTGAGATGGAGAGGTACAGAGAGTGGGCACTATCATGCTCAGAAATGGAAATGGTCAGCCTCATAGGAGCCATCAGAGAAGAAGCCCGCCAGTTCTCCCACTCGCTAGCCCCTGGCCTTATATACATCCCTGGACCTCAGTGCTCAGATCTGTAAAATGGCAGAGCTGAGCCACCCGTACAACAAATTTGTTTTGAGCACTCACTGTAAGCCAGGCACTATTTGCGGTTCTGGTGATACAGCGTTGAACAAGATAATGGCCCCACCCTAATGGATTTTATGGTCTGGCGGAGGGAAAGGGGAAGGCAGATAGATGAATGTATAAATACATGACATGGCAGGTAGTGATCAGGACTGTGAAGAAAATCAAGAAATCAAGAAAATCAAGATAAAGTGATAACGAGTGACAGGGGGCCACGTCAAGAAGGTAATTTGGGAAGGGGTCTCGCCCATCAAGTCACATTGGTGGGTGGGCGTGGAAGATGTGAGGTGGCAACCCAAACTGGTATTAGGAGAGCGTTCCTGGAAGAACGAACAGCAAGACAAGGCCCTGAGAGAGGAATGACTCGAAACGTTTGAGGAGCGGCGCGAACACCAGTGTGGCTGAATCACGACGGGGGCCTGGAGAATGGGAAATGAAGAGAAGCCAAGAGCCAGACCATGAAGAGCCATAAAAGCCAAGGTAAGGAGTTCAGGTGAGAACCCCTGGAAGGCTTAAGAAGGTGTACCAGAGGATCCAAACCATCTCTGATCTGAAGGGCTGGGACCTAAGCAAGATGGTCCTGAATGAGTAGGATCTAGAATGGAGGAGTCCAAATGCCAAGTATTCACATTTCAGATGGTGTGGACCCCTGTGCAGATCAGGAGTGATTTAATTAAGGAAGTAACCAGGCTAAGGAGAAAAAATATCAGGGGAAGAAGTCTGGAGACCAAGAAGGGTCCCAGGTATTTCATGGGAAAACGGTAAAATATATGGAGCCTCTGACCATCAGGAGGCAGCCAGTGCCCTGGTGCCATCCCTCTTCAGTCCAAAAACTCCCAATTTGGTGCCCTGTTAGGGCCTCACAAGGCCTTATCGCTCTAAACACCAACCGGCCGTTCAAAATGCCCTAGTCCTACGGTTCATGGCCAGTGTCAGCTCTACTATAGGTAACAGGTGGGTGCTAATGTTAAATAAATCCATGCTAATTGGTTAGTGCTTCTCAAATTTCTTCCTTTCTATTTACTATTTCTTCCGAAGGCAGGAGAGAGAAAACACGTGGCTCCAGAATGTCTGCAAGATATAAAGCGAACAGCCCATCACAAGCAAGACGCTTCACTGAAGACTTGCACTTTATCTTAAAATTAGTGTGAATGTTCCTTTGATTCCAGATTTACTTATAAGAACCCAATAACAATGTGTTATATTGTCCAAGGAGCAGATATGACCCTGGAAGAATATATGCCACATCTGTCCTGTGCTTTGCCAAATGCCTCGCACATCATCCCATATCCCCAGGGCTGGGGAAACTCACCTTGAAAAACGTGAATCACTAAACCCAATTAAAACACTCTCCTCTCTTGGAAGGACCCCGCGTAGTTGCCAATATCTGGGGTTTCAAGGATCATCACTCATTATTAGAAGCAACATACGAGGTAGAGGGCTCCTAAAAGCAGATTTGGATGTCTTCCTAAATGAAATCGCTAATGCCACCCTTATTCTACAGTTGTCCATCTTATAAAAGCACATTACTAACGCAAGCTGGAAATACTCTGCATCCCAACTATCTCTGAATCTCAGCGGACATTAATGGGAGTAGCATGTGCCATGTAGCCATTCCATAGCCATTACAAAGACTGAGTAAATCCTTCAGTGCCACATGCTCTTAGGAAGTGACGCTCTCACAATGAGTAAGAAAGCATTCCCAAAGAAACTGGCACCTCTCCTGTCACTTAAACGGTAGTTTACAGCATCTCGGTGGGGGAGGCGATGTTTCTCATATTGTGTTTGTTTAATATTTGACAATATCTTGGCTCATACTGTGGTGGGTTTGAGATAAAATGATTATTTGTATATACACAGTTGCCCACACAGATGGGAGAAAATGTTTATTTGGAGGGGGAGAAAAAGAAATTAGAAGGAAAAAAAAACCCTCCATGATACATGCATCAATACTACTATGATTACACAATGCTATATTAACAATATTTTGAGGGAGTCCCTCTAAATAACCATCCTGCCTTCCAACTCAGAATCCACATAATTACAGCTTTCTGGCTACCAGAACCGGAAAGGATGCCATGTTGGATGCTGCCAGTGCTGGGGGGTTGAGCAGGCTGCTGCTGCCACCCAGTGGGGACTGCCGAAATGGCAACCGCAGGAAGCTTCAGCTACTTGCAACTAAACAGAAAATTTATGTACTTTCTAAGTAATTCCTATTTTCAATTCTCACATTCGCAGAAATTACAATAAATAACAAACACGGGATGATTTATGTAATTCTAGCTTCATTGCGTAGTACAAAATGTACTGAAGATAAAATACATATAGAAACATTTCGTTTTGTCATTTTACCCATTCCTTAAATATCTAGTTTATGTTGTATTTACAGTATAGTTACTTTCTTTTTTTTATTTTTTAATGTTTATTTATTTGGGGGGGGGGAGGGCAGAGAGAGGGACACACAGAATCTGAAGTAGCCTCCAGGCTCTGAGCTGTCAGCACAAAGCCCGATGGGAGGCTCAAACTGACGAACTGCAAGATCATGACCTGAGTCAAAGTCAAATGCTTAACCGGCCAAGCTACTTTCTTTTAAATTGGGGTCTGATAAATGGTTTTTATTCTTAATAAAAATGAATATCCCAAATCCAAAGACATTAGTGTTTTTGCTTTACGGTGCAAAAACACATCTGTGATGACAGTTTTTGTTCCTTATTTTTTTAAGTTTATTTATTTTGAGAGAGAGAGAACACAAGTGGGAGAGGGGCAGAGAGCGAGAGGGAGAGAGAGAATCCCAAGAAGGCTCTGCACTGCCAGCGCAGAACCTGACATGGGTCTCGAACCCATGAACCATGAAATCATGACCTGAGCCAAAGTCAGAGGCCCAACTGCCTGAGCCACCCAGGCGCCCCTCTTTTTTATTAAGCTAAGCGTTGATTTTGGGTAGAATCCTCCAACTTAAATATTTTAAGAATCCTTATAAGTTAGAGAAATCTTTGTTTAACATATAAATAAGTCTTCAAACTGGATATTATAAGAGTATCCTAATGATGGACTTCACAAATTAACAGAGGCAAATTCAAGGGTGGATTTGTTGGGCAAGTTTCCGGGAAACCAATCAGGATAGTGCTTAAAAATACAACATTTAGTGGGGAAAAAAACCTGTTTTGGAACATTGCATGAAGGATACTACCATTCATATAAATGTCAAAAATGCACAGCATCATTCCATATTGTTTACAGATTCATAAAAGTATATACATATGGACTCGATTCACAGCCAAATTCATGATAGCATTTCCTCTGGGGAGAGTGAGGGGAAATGGGCCTTCACCTTTATGTGTAATATTTTATCCTATTTAAAAGATACAGAGATGGAGCCCCTGGGTGGTACAGTCAGTTAAGCTTCTGACTCTTTATTTTGGCTCAGGTCATGATCTCATGGTTCGTGGGATCGAGCCCCGTGTCAGGCTCTGCACTGATGGCACAGAGTCTACTTGGGTTTCTCTCTCTCCCTCTCTCTCTCTCTGCCTCGCCTTCTCTCTCTCTCTCTCTGTCTGTCTCTCAAAATAAATAAATGAACTTTTTAAAACAAAGAAATAAAAAGAGAGAGAAGATATGAAGCAAATATGACCAAATATTCAATTTTTTTTTGTTTCATATGATGGTTCCACAAGTGTTTTTCATTATCTTTTCCTTATTCCATTAAAAAGCAAAAAATAGTGCTCAAATTCATTGCAAGATCTTTGTTACACTGAGTATGGTATGGAAGTCTGGGATCAGAGCTAAAAAAACTAAACTAAACTAAACTAAACTAAACTAAAAACAGGGGTCTGAAGTGTCCTCCTTAGTCCACAGAGTGCTCAGCTTTTCCCCTAAATAAATTCAGGTCAAACACTTCAAGAATACTTGGTTTGAAGGTGCATCAGTTTTTACCCAGGGCACCGTCATGCCTCCTCCAACCCTTATATTAAAACATTCCTCTCAAAACTTAAGGGAGACATAATCATCAGCTTTTTTGGTCCAGAATAGCCTGCTGGTATCCTGAAGCTCCTAAGTTAACAACTTAAATATTCCAATGATAAATTTTCAGAGGCCAAATGAAGAATAAAATAGAAGGGCAAGTGTTTTCCTCCAATACTTGTACTCCTGTCACTCCTAAACATAGCAGATTATTAGGAACGGGAACTTGGCACACACTGATGGAGGAAATTTTTATTTAATTCACTACCGTAAATTGCAAAAAAATATGTGTTCATGCATTTAGAAACCCCCTAGAGGGAGTATTTCTTCAGAAATAGAAAGAAAATAGGATTTAAGAGAAATGTGTTTTAGGTTATTATTTCTCTGTGTAAGAACCTAAGCCTTGCCCCAAAATAAATGTAGTCTAGACTGCAATCCAGTGAGAATCAAGACCGCAATCTACTTATTCCTTCTGCTTTCACAATAGAACCACTCACAGTTGTGATGAGAATCATCCCAAATTATAAGGCATAAAAACTGGCACTGCCTCACATATTATTAATCTATTTGCAGATGGCACCACATTTTACAACATGACCCTATTACAAGAAATGCTGATTCTGCAAATGCTCTGCTTGCAAGCGAGAATGGAGCAGTTAGAAGTCACGGCAATGCTGTATTTTAAGCTTTCCAAAATGTACACTAAAGCAAAAGTCCTTGAAGGTTGTAGAAAATAACTCCATCGTCTTCAAACCATTGCAAAACTTTTCAGATCGAACATGGACATAAACCAACAAATATCTTTGTTGGTTCTCTAATCAGAAACAAGTACACATAATTATTTCATAGAGTAGGAACTTAAAATTTGCTAATATGTTGAACAATTAGCAAAACATAGCCTGCGAAACTTTAATTGAGATTCCTCTGGCATAAAATAAAAAAATACTGGCTATGGAGTTGCCAAATCCAAAAACAGGCAATCTTACTGACAACAGCAAGGCTGTTGGCAGATAATAGGAGATTCATCCTCAAAAAAGGAAAGATTCAAGAGTCCAATCCTTAGAGGTTTCTTTTCTCACACCTTACACATATGAGCTGCGCTAAGTCTGCAAGTTTAACATGAAAGCCAAAGTGACCAGTCAATTCCTGATATTTATATTTAATGTTTGGACAGATGGAAAGCTATCATATTTGATTCAACATATAGCTACTGAGGACCCGCTGTTCGCACAATGTTTTTTGGTGAGAAATATATCTGGATTAATCTTACCAGAATTTCATTACCTCCTTCAGTAAGTCTCTCCAACTGTATACTTCCATTTTGTCTGATTTTTTAATTTAAGTTTATTTTATCAGTATTACATAATACATGCTCGTCACAACAAACATGGAAAATACAGGAAAAGAGAATAAGGGGGAAAGCCAATCACAGTCCCACCAGGTAGAGATAATTATCAAAATTCATGGATTCCCTCAGAATATTTTTTTCTCATTCTGTAAAGATTTCTCATTTCCAAATCACAATGAAAGGAACTTGAGTACTTTATCAATTTTGTTTTCTATTATATGCCTTAGAGACATAAGATATAAATATAACCTCACTACAAACTGGTATCTGACACAACAGAATAACATTTGCAAAATGTAATGTTGTAGTGACAATAATGAGGCTGATTGCTACAGACATGTTAAACTCTGAGTGTTAAATGCTTACATCTTATTTTTTCAGAACATTGATCCAACAACAAAAATAGACAACAGCAGCTGAAAATTTATCTCATTCAATGTTCTAAGATAAAAGAGCTAACCATTCATTCCATTATTTTCTGCAGATAAATCCTTTTTTCATACTGAAATCTGATGGCAATTAAATTATGATATTTTCCCAGGCTACTGTATGAGAGGAAGCTGAAGGCCATCACTATACAGCATACTGCAACATAAAGACTCTTCTGTTCACCAATTCTGGAGCATTTCCAAAATATACCCAACAATCCAATTTTATTTCTGTCCTGGAGGCTGTGTGCCAAGGATGGGATATAAGCACAGGAATATATAAGCAGCAAGATTACAGTCAACTGACTCTGAAAATTAAAAATGGCAGACATAGTGAGGCCGGCAAAGCCCCAGTCACATCCCCTTCAGAATATTTTGTTGAGAATTTCTTCATAATTTCCGTTATGTAATATATCCAAGATTGTACAAGCCAACTTTATAATGTATGACATCATAAAGCAACTAGACCTATCAGATCACTTTAAGAACACATTGCCCAAAAGTAGCAAACACACAGTCTTATCAAGAACACATGGAACATTCTCCAGAAGACACCATACATTAAGCTGTAAAATGAGCCTCAATAAATCAACAAGATTGAAAATAGATTATGTTCTCCAACTATAGTGGAATGAAATAGAAATTGATGACACAAGGAAATTTGAAGAATTCGTAAGTGCAGAAATTAAATAACACACTCTTAAATAACCAATGGGTCAAAAAAGAAATCACCACAAAGGAAATTAGAAAATAACTTAAGATGAGTGAAAATAAAAACACAGCATATAAAAATTTGTGGAATGGAGATAAAGCAGTGCTCAGAGGGAAATTTATAGCAGTAAATACCTATATATTTTTTTAAATTTAATTTCAGATAAATAAATAATCTTCAATTGTAAGGAACTGAAAAAAGAAGAGCAAACTAAACCTAAAGCAAGAAGAAAGAGGAAATAATAGAGCAGAAGTTAGTGAAAGAGAATAGAAAGACAACAGAAAATCAATGAAACCAAAAGCTGCTTCTTTGAAAATATCAACAAATTGACAAATATTTACCTTGACTGACCAAGAAAAAAGAGAGAACTCAAATTTCTAAAATCAGGAATGAAACATGAACTATAAATTACCCAATTTAAAAAAAATGAAACGATTATAAAGAAATACAATGAATGATTGTGTGAAACAAATTGTATAAAAGAAATGAAATGGACAATTCCCTAGAAACACTCTCACTACTGAAACTGACTCAAGAAAAAAAATACACAATTTGAGTACACCCATAACAAGTAAAGAGATTGAATTAGTATCAGAAACTACCCACAAAGCCCAAGACCAAATGGCTTCAATGTTGAATTCTATCCTATGTTTAAAGAAGAATTAACATCAGTATTTCACAAACTCTTCCAAAAGTTTGCAGAGTAAAAAACCCTCCCCAACTAATCGTATGAGACCAGTCTTGTCCTGATACCAAAACCACAGTCATGGCACAAATACAAACAAACAAAAACAAAGCTAAAGACAACATCTCTTATGAATAGAAGTGCAAAAATCCAACAAAATACTAACAAACTGAATCCAGCAACATATAAAAGGGATTATGCACCATGACCAAGTGGGAGTCATTCCAAAAATGCAAGGTTGGTTTAATATCCGATAATCAACCAATGCCATACACTCTATTAACAGTAAAAACCTAAAACCACATGATTATGTCAATTGCTGCAGAAAAACATTTGACAAGGGGTGCCTGGGTGGCTCAGTCCGTTAAGTGTCCGACTTCCGCTGAGGTCATGATCTCACAGTCCCGTGAGTTCGAGCCCCGCGTCGGGCTCTGTGCTGACAGCTCGGAGCCTGGAGCCTGTTTCAGATTCTGTGTCTCCCTCTCTCTCTGACCCTCCCCTGTTCATGTTCTGTCTCTCTCTGTCTCAAAATAAAACGTTAAAAAAAAAAAAAACCATTTGACAATGAGGGTGATGGATATATTTACAGCATAGATTGTGATTATGTTTCCATGTGTGTATACTTATCTCCAAATACACCAGGCTGTATGCATTAAATATGTACAGCTTTTTGTTAGTCAACATTACCTCAAGAAATTGAAAGCCAATTTCTCTTTCATGATAAAAAAAAAAAAAAAGACACTCAAGAAATAAAGATGGAAGGGAACCTCTTCAACCTGAGAAAGAGTATCTTTAAAAAAGCTACATAAACATCACACTTAATAGTGAAAGACTGAATGCTTTCCCCTACAATTAAGGAAAAAAGAGATGTCCACTCTGACCACTTCTTTTTTTTTTTACGTTTATTTTTATTTGTTTTGAGAGAGACAGTGTGTGCACGCGAGTGGGGTAGGGGCAGAGAGAAAGAGAGAGAGAATCCCAAGCAGACTTTGCTCTGTCAGCACAGAGCCCTACACAGGGCTCCATAGCATGAACTGTGAGATCATGACCTAAACAGAAATAAGTAGTTGGACACTTAACCAACTGAGCCACACAGGTGCCCCTGACTCTGACCACTTCTGTTCAGTGTTGTTCTAGAGGCAAATATATCTGGGCAACAGAAATTAACAGCATCAAGACTGTAAAGGAAGAAGTAGAACTATATTCAGAGATAACATGATCTCATATGCAGAAATTCCTAACGAACGCAAAAGAAACTCCAAACATAATAAAAACCACAGAATCGCAGGTTTTTATAGGGCAAATTTTATGGTATGTGAATTATTAAATTGAGAACATTTAGCATATAGTAATTTTTGAGCAGACTCAACAATGACACCATCGCATAGATCAATGACACACAAAGGGATTTGATATCTTATCTATCCCTGGATCATGTATTCATCTTTCTCAATTAAAAAATACTGAAGTCACTCAGGATGAATTATCTTTATTATTTACTCCACTGGATGTCTCTTTCAAACTGAAAGGGCAATATATACTTGTATTGCCTTTTATTATGCACCAAAAATTAAAAAATTCCTAGAAGTACCAAATAAAAACCCTATAGTATTCTTCTCACCCATGACCCTCCCTCCTACCACCACCACTCCTTGAAGACAATGAATATTAATAGTTCAATGTCCACACTCTTCCCCATGTTCATCTCAATGCACACACATGAAAATATTCACACAAATAAAAGGTTTTTTCCTCTGATTTTTCTACATACATTTCTCTCCCACTTACTTCATGGTGGCCTTTCCTAATGGTCAGTGCCTATAAACCATAACTCCTCCTTGTGAAAGCCACACAACATTCCAGAAATATGGACATACCACAGTTAATCCAAGCACTCTCTGGTGACAGGATTCAAGTTCTTTCCTTTTTTTTTTTTTTTTTTTTTTTTTTTGGCATTCAATGTATTTCTTTACACATATACTTACAAATCAATTCTTTTACTTCTGTATGATAAAATTGTCCAATCCAGATTTTAAAGATGCAGAAAAGCATGACTTTGCTTAGCAAGAAAGAAAAAAAAAAGGTCATTATGTTTCACTAAACATCCTGGCTTGGTGGAAAGGGGGAAACATTTATTTCTCAGTTCTGAGTCACAGCCCTGTGAATAGGTTAGATTTTGTTTGCAAATACATAAACAAAATACAAATTACAAGTGCTCACCAAACAAGGCGTCTTGTAATAGGGGCAAAGGGTGTGTCACAAGAAACACATTTCCTGGTGCAGGAAAATGAGCCGCAGAGGAAGGAAGCAGCCCAGGGAAACAGTGCTGGACCAAGCTTTATGCTTTGACTGCAAAACTCCCCTGACAACAACGAATCCAACAGGATTCCTGGGTTCAGGGTTCAGGTTAGGTTTGGGGTTAGGCTTAGGTTAGAACCTTGAGTCATTTCAGACCACGGTTCCCCTTATTTCCTGCTCTACTTTGCGCCTTCTCTTGGTTGACTGGAACAGTTTTTTCAAGAAGGAAACGTGGATGCTGTGATCCCCCTGCCCTTAGCTATCTAAAAATAGCTTCCTATTGCCCTCCTTCACAAAAGACAACTTGACTTATTTTAAGTGTCTGGGTCACAGCCTTTTCTTCTTCCAAATCCTGTACATACAGCAGCCTTAAAAGCCTTCCAGCTAACAGTGTCGCTGAAGACAACCTATTTTCGTTTCTTTGCTAGTGTCATTACAAGATATGAGAAATCCTCATATTTGTGTGAGCATGTACACAGAATATAAACATAGTAAACTGAAGAAGCACTCTCTGTCATTAAAATGCCAGCAGCTAAACTGTCTCATCTGATATATTCTCAGTTTACTGATGTGAGAAGACAAGGAATGAACTCCACATGAACTATGCCTACAGCAATATGACCATTACATCAGTAATTGTGAGTCTGGAAGGCACCAAACAGTAAGTCCACAGCAAATCAGCCCGAAGTGACAGCTTAGAGATTTGATTTGACTATTCTCTGGCTTTATGTCATTCAATGCCACCATCGGAAGGAGCCGTCCTACCCACAGTGTTCCAGAAGGCCTCATACCCTTTACTTTTGGGCATCAGCTACTCGGTTTGTGAGAGCACCACTTACTGGTGCATTAGAGAAGCATAACTTCTTCGTTCTCTTAAGCTGTGGATTATTGGGACCTGCCCAGTGAAAGGGGATATAAAAACATTCTTCCTCATTCTGGCAGGTTCCCCCCACCACCCCCAAACTCCTCTTCCCTTACGGTCCCTTGACAAGTGCAGCAAAAGTGAAATTTATGGAAGGTAAATAAGAAAACTCAAAATCTAAAGGAAGGTTCACCAAAAGACGTGAAAAGACAGAAAATAGAGCCACTCCTGAAATTTCAGTTTCAGGAACTGACAGCGGACTTCAAGGTACTGCAAGTGGCGTGAGTGAGCAGAAGCAATTGTCTTCTGCCTTTGTGTTACTCTGTGGAAGTTCCAGTTCCAGCGAGACACTGCTGTATTCGTCTCAGGTCACATTCTCACCTCTTGGCAGGAAAGGATACTGGTTCTTGACTGACATTTTGCTGTGCTGGCTCTTGTGGAGAGAAGACAATTCCTCCAAAGAGTATCAGAGTGCTTTTAGCCAAAAAATGCTCACTGTGTCTCTCCAATTTGTAGTTAAATTGCCTTTTCCAAGAGGACGTTTTTAGGATGTTTTAAACTTGTGTCATTCAAAATTTTCTCTTTGGATAGATCTACATACAGATCTCTTCTGTTTTTATCTGAAATACAGGGAGCCCCCTTCAGCCCATGTACTTACATTTTATTCCGTCCTTTACTATTACTTTTAATCCTTAGTTATGCTATCCTCCCTAGGAACCCAAAGTAGTCCTATGGTAGACCTTTGATCTCACTTCCATTTTCTGTTTCCTTTCGCTTGTGCTTTTTTCTGCATCCTAGAAG